ATAAAATTTATATAATTTCTTATCTAATCAATCAGTTTCGATTTTATATAATTCGTTTCTATTTTTTTTCTTTTTTTTTTTTTCTTTTTTAATAATTTAATTTAATTAGAAAGAACGAGTATAATGAATAATAAATACATAACTTCAATATCCAAATATTAAATTGAATCTAATAGATTTAATTGATTGATCGAATATTATGAATTAAATTAAATTAATTTAAAAGTAATCATTTAAAATTGAAAAGTGGATGTAAAAATTATACCTTGATTTGGAGAAAAGAAAAAAGAAAAAAAAAGAAAAAAAAAAAAAAAAAGAGAAATACACATATATACATATATTCATTTATTTATTTATTTATTTATTCATTTATTTATTTATTTATTTATTTAGAAACTCGTTGAGTTGAAATCACGATCTCATAGAAACGTAGAGAATATTTTCAAGCATCTACCAAGTGATTCACATTTTCAGAACGTTCCGAGAAAGTAGGACGATAGAAAGACGATAAATATCGTTATTGTATTGCAAAATCGAGAGATCGAAAGTGTTTGCACTTTGAACCGATAGTTCGATTTATCGTTTCAGAAATATACTCTCTTTCTCTTTCTTCTTCTCTCTCTCTCTCTCTCTTTCTCTTTCTCTTTCTCTTTTTCTATCTATCTATCTACATACACACACACAAGGTTATAAGAAATAGATGAGTATTCGACGATTGTTTTACAAGGAACATTGTATATATACATTTATATATATTATATATATACATATATATATATATACACATATATAATAAAGAAAAATTTTCTTTTGCTATTCTTTCATAAAGCAAACAATGTAACCGAAGTGCAAGTGTAATAAAACGCTACTGTCCGTCTCTTGTCTTCAATGGATCGATCGATCGATTCATCGATCTATTGATCAATCAATTCATTGATCCATCGATCTATCTATCTATCTATCAGTCTATCTGTCTATGAATTTTCTGTGAGAATGAAACTAGTGTGTAATTGAAACAAGTTCATAAAATACGTATAACGTAAAAGCATCGTAATGACGTCTCGTTGAAAGTGCACGACACGATCTGTGGGTACTTACTCGCATGCACTTTCGTTACGCTTCGTAGAAAATGCCAAGGCAATGTCTGTTGTCCGTACGAAGGCGCGATAACATCGGCACATTTTCTCTCTATTCCATTTTTCATTTAGTTCTCTATTGCTCGTGTATATATATATATGCGTGCACCATAAATATATATATATATATATATATATATATATATATATATATATATATCTCGTATTTATGTGTGCGCGTCCACATATACATCTTGTATGTGTGTATATGTGTCTATGTGTATATGTGTCTGTTTGTATATGTACTGTGTGTATATGTGTGCTGTGTGTATATGTGCTGTGTGTATATGTGTCTGTTTGTATGTGCTATGTGTATATGTGTGCTGTGTGTATATGTGTGCTGTGTGTATATGTGCTGTGTGTATATGTGCTGTGTGTATATGTGTCTGTTTGTATATGTGCTGTGTGTATATGTGTGCTGTGTGTATATGTGTCCTGTGTGTATACTTGATAACTTTTTCCTTTTTTTTCTCTCACTTTTTTGCACCTTCAAGACTCGTGTGAATATGATGCGATGTAAAAGAGAAAAAAGAAAAAAGAAAAAGAAAATATAAGAGAGAGAGAGAGAGAGAGAGAGAGAGAGAGAGAGAGAGAGAGAGAAAGGGAGAAAGAGAAAAAAAATCTTATCTTGATGCACATTCATGATTTGTAAAGTAAATTAATACGTGTAAATTTATTCGTATTAATATTAAAAAAAAAAAAAAAAAAAAAAAAAAAAAGGAAAAGGAAAAGAAAATTAAAGAAAATTATGATAGAAATGATGATTACGTGATATCGAACTATTAATGAAAAATAATACATTCGTTTGACATTGAATTTAGAATTTTTTGGAAAAATGTGTAAAGGAAGATTCTTTAGATTTATTGCGGAAAAAAAAAAACAAAAAAATGTTAAAAAGTAAAATTTACAATTTCACTCAAAGTCAGAACGTGAAGATTTAAATATTCGCGTGCAATTATATGAATTATTTTAATGATTTTTTGTTGAAAAAAAAAAAAAGAAAAAATAAATAATTGCATCTTCATACTCATTTATGATTTAAAAATATTTAGAAATTTTATATTCAACGTTGATTTAGAATTTTAGAGAAAGATTGAAAGAGAGAGGGAGAGAGAGAGAGAGAGAAAGAGAGAGAGAGAAAGAGAGAGAGAGAAAAAGGAAGATCTATTAACAAGTTTTTCTTTTTTTTTTTAAATTAACCTCGACAATTTCAAATTCAAAATAAAAATGTCTAAATTTGAATATGTGCAAAATTAATCCACGATATTTGAAAATGTGAAACGGACGAAGAAAAAAAAAAAGAAAAAAGAAAAAAAAAAAAGTAAAAGAAAAAGATTCTCTTTGAAAATCTATCGAGAAAAATAATTTATAGTATAAAACTCAAAAAATTTATTGACACAAATGAGAACGTGTGAATTTATTCATACGTCATTTTTTTTTCTATTCTTCATTTAGTTCATTCAATTACTCGAGTATGTGTCTTTACATAATAACAATTTTTTTCACCTGCAAGATTCACGTGGATATGATTTAGTGTACAAAGGAAAAAAAAAAAAAAAAAAAAAAAAAAAAGAAAAAAAGAAAAAAATAGAGAGAAAAGAAAAAAGAAGAAAGAACAAATAAATCTCCGTGTTGATTAACGCTTTCAAAAAAGAATAATAACGGCTAAATCTATTCGGTGTTTCAAAAAAAAAAAAAAAAAGAACAAAGGATTTAATTATACGATATACGATAGATGGCTTAATTAAAAAATGAATAATTTTATTCGACACCGCTTTGGACTTACAAAAAGAACGAGGACATTGATTCTATTTTTTTTTTCTTTTCTCTCTCTCTCTCTCTTTTTTCTTTTTTTTTTTCTTTTTTTTATTTATTTTTTTTTTTTTTTTTTTTTTTTTATACAAATTTTATACAATTGCAACAATAACATGTATATATTCTCCAACTCTCGAAAAAAAAAAAATCCGGTTTAATTAGACTGTAAGCTATGATTCATTATATCGATGCAATAATTATCGATCCTGTCTTTCTTTTCATCGTAGAAATGCATTTGCAGTTGCGTATCTTTCGATTCATAAAAAAAGTACGTGTATTTGATACATCCCTACTTTACGTTGTAAATAATCATCGATCCATCGATGCAATTATTGATTTTATTTTATTATTATTATTATTATTATTATTATTATTATTATTATTATTATTATTATTATTATTATTATTATTTTATTATTACACGAAGCGCAATTTGCGGTCGTTCTTTTTTTTCAATTCTTTTTTCTTTTTTTTTTCAATTTTTTTCTTTTCCAATTCGTAAAAACGATTTATTCGATTTATCCTAGCTGTCCTTTCTAACGTGTCGTAAGCGATGATTTTCATTTTTCATTTTGTACCAAACAATGCCAATTATTGATCGCATTTTTCGTCGTACCTTTCTCTTTTCCATTGTGCAAAAAAAAAAAAAAAAAAAAAGGAGAAAGAAAAAAAAAAAGGACCGCAGGTGCGCAATTGCGGTCACGATTTTCGTAACAATTCGTAAGATAAAAATTAAGTACCGATCAATACGTGCGTCCTCGTTTTATCGATGTTAATCCATCGATAAAATGCAATTAAATGATGCAATAACGACACGAGGTCGTAACAGACATCCCGTTTATCAACGATTTTTGAATTTTAATCGTCGGCACATACGCAAATTCGCCATTTTTTTTTCTCTCTCTTTTTTTCTTCCCTTCTTGTCGATGACAATTGCGACGACAACTACGACTACGCGACTACGACAACGACGATAACAAAGGAAAAGGTGTTATCGTCGTCGTGTATATACGCTCACTGTATAATTCATGGGATTCGAAGTATAACGCAATAAGAGACGGTTTAAGTTTCGGCACGTCGTATGCTAGCTTCTCTTACCGGTTGTTGGCCGCGAAACCAAAGCGATCGAAACGATCGAAACGATCGAAACGATCGCCACCAAAACCCACCCACCACCACCAGCACAAGCTTTATCGACGATGTCGTAACATTATTATTCATACCTCTTTCGCGATCTCTCGTGTTTGATACTTTCTGTGCCAGGTGAGGAAACATTACTCGAACGGAATATCAAAACGATATGGCTGATATAAATATGACGGGGCGATATGTTCAACGAACGAACAAAAGGGAACGTAATTTTACCTATGTTCATTGTCGACTTATATGAATGAATGAACGAACGAACGAACGAACGAACGAACGAACGAACGAATGAATGAATGAATGAATAAATGAATGAATGAATGAATGAATGAATGAATGAATGAATGAACGAATGAATGAACGAATGAATGAACGAACGAACGAATGGATGGATGGATGGATGGATGAATAATGAATGAATGAATGAATGAATATATATATATATTTTTTTAGATTTGTATAACTGTGACCATCTTTTTTTTTTACGATGGAAAAAGTACATAAGTCAATCTCTAAGTAAATAACCAATCGAATGTGATCAAATTTTGATTTTTTTACGATCTTATGTCAAAAAATTTTCACACTTGTACTGTCGTAATGGCCGTTTATAAATTATTTTATATTTTATAAAATATAATTTTTATATAAAATATCTAACTTCAATTTCATTCATTACCGAACTATGTCGATGAACGAATAAAAATGTATTGTGTATATCTGTGTGTATGTGTCTGTGTGTAATTTAAATAGGTACAAATCTGTAATCATTATTATTTCTATACGTAAAATCGATTTGATAAAATTTTTCATATGATAAAACTTTTCTTTACGATTTTATAATAATTGTAATTATTCGCTAATGAAAACTGATCATTGAGAAATAATTTTTATCAAAATTTCTGA